CACCGCTGTTCTAACTTGAAATATCAAGTCTGCGCCGCCGAGCATTTTGAGAAAATTATTAAAAATTGGGCCGCCACCGATCAGCCTTTTGGCTTACACCTCTACCCACACTCACATCCTCAATTTTTAATTACACCATATTGCATTAAAGTTAAGAGAAAAAAAGAAACTTTGATATAAGAGTATAAAATCGAAACAAAACTTGTTATTGTGTCGTGCAAAAATAGAAGAAAAAGAAAACAAAAAAATCAACTAAATGTGTCTCTGTCGCTGCATCATAAAAAAAGAAAATAGTGTAATATGAAAAGATAATTTGACGTAGTAAATAATAGCATTTGAACATATTCCCGACGCATTACGATTTTTTTCCTTATAGTTAATAGCTGATCAGATGTTAATACACATATAAATGATCTTTTATAAAACTAAGGAAGAATTTTCTCAAGAATCAATAAAAAAAAAAAGTTGGCTTCATGTTTAGACTTGAAAGGTTATGTTTTAAAAAATGCTCGTCAAGGTAATATTCAGAATATAATTGATACAATTGGTCAATATGGTTGGACTAAACAATGCTTAATGAATATTGGTGATTAAAGAGGAAAAATTCTTAATCAAGGTATTCAAACAAGAAAACCAAAAATTATTCCTGAACTTGGTATTCATATATTTTTACTTTAAATAAATACAAAATCTATTAATACGTTTTATCTTTAGGCACTTTCCTTGGTTATAGTTCAGTGAGAATTATTTCTCAATAACCAGATAATGTGCTTTTCATTACAATTGAAGCTAATGAATAATTATCTAAAATAGCCCGTCATATTTTTGAATTTGCTTGTGTCACGAATCGCATAAATATTATTAATGATTATTCGAATAGTGTTATTCCTTATTTAAGTAAGAATTTTAATATTGATTCATTCGATTTTATATTTATCGATCATTTTAAAGATGTTTATTTGAGTGATTTTAAAATGCTTGAAGATGTTGGATTAATCCAACCCAGAACAATGATTATTGCAAATAATGTTATTACACCTAGTGTACCAGATTATTTAGAATATGTTCGAAATAATCCAAATTATACATCAACATTTTATGAAGGAAAAATTGAAAATCGAGAAGATTTAAATAATGGTAT